CTTAGGATGCTTTTTCGTGGAACATTTTCATTCGAGGTAACTGTCATCCTGCCTTGTGCTGGCAAAGACGCACAATTGCCCTGAAATGGCATCCTCCAAAAGCCGCCGCCATGTTCGAATCACCTACGCAACCAAACCCTCCATATACGGGATACGGACTTATGTAGTTCATGAGATCCATGTCGCAGCGCCAACACCCAGTGCTAGTTAGTTGACTCGACATGGCAGTTTGGCGTCAAACCGATTAGGTCATGGAGGCGCAGTTCGGTGCACCAGTTTCGGTTTACAAGTCTCCCTCTGGTAAAACCTGTCTTGGTAATTTTGAGCTCGTGAGATAGCTCGGAATGAAATCATGAATTCACAAGAATTGACATATATCCTTGATAAGAGTTGACAGGTGGTCTTTGCAAACATTGACATCTTTTCCTGGCTTCACATGATTTCACAGGTCTATATTTGGTAGCTCGACACGTCGATGGGAAGTAACAAAAGTGCAAAAAGCCCCCCCCCCCTCCCCTCTTGTCGCCGAACTGCGCCGTTCATGGATCTGTCCTATATGGTTTATTTTACGACCCTTTCTCAATAAATCTGGCAATCGAGAAATAGTTTTATTCCGTTCCAAATTCTGCGGACACTGTTAGTCACATTCTCTATTCAACGTTCTTGAGCGCTAATGTAGTGCAGGTGGGAACAGCACCGGGCAGCGCTTTACGTGCCCAAAGCTCAGACTTGGCAGAGCACAGACAGAGTCGTCGAGGTTTAGCCTCGTAGAGCAAATTTTAATTGAGCTGTGTCCCAAAAGCCACGTTTCTACTTGTTTGATTGGAGTAGCAGTCATTCATTTAACGGTCCTCAAAACTTGAAATACAAGTGGGCAGGTCAATTGTCAATTTTTCGAATATGTTCGTCATATAAAGGGTCGAAGACGTAATCTACCCTGAGCTAATTGATTTAACGCCAAAGTTTTTTGAAGAGTCATCTAACGAGCAATACTAGATGATTTCGCGTGATGTCGCAACACGGATCTCCTGACCTACACTCGTTAGTCGTTATCACCCCACCTGTCGTGTGCATAGAGCCATGGACGTAAATAAGCACATCCTTCTTTGTCTTTAGGATAGGCGAATTTATCGAGAGTACAGAAACCACCCTCAGACAGCAAGCAGGTGTATGCACGAAGACTG